AAATACACCAAACAAATTGGATTTAAAAGAAAACAAAAAATCATAAAAACAAAATAAAAATAAAGGAAGTGGAAACAAGTACTTTATAAGTAAAAAGAAAATTAAATCAATATATCAGGACTGCTTATATACCTACTATATTTATTTACAAAATAGCCGTTATATTTCACATGTTACCAGGCAATATAACCCCGAGTGTCTAGATGAACTTCGAATAGACTATCAACCGTGACGAGTGACCACCGAGAACCGGTTGGGAATTCAGATGTACTGCCACGGTAAGCACTTTCTGACCACGAGATATCCTTTCATATGAATCGTTAAAACCCACGAACTTAAGTCTATTAACACTATGATTGCAGATAATTGATATCCGTAATAGGAAATCATGCCATAATAACGCTTTAAAGCGTAATTAGATGTCTCTCTTGTAGTTAACTATGACTACATATTTTGCTGACTTTACAGATTAAAGTTAAACTTATTAAAAATCTTACCAAAAAAAGCCAAACCCGTTAGAAAACAGAAAGCAAATAATCTGCTTAATAATTATACTAATACTTATACATATTGCAAAACCGTATGAAGGTAAAACGGTAATACACTCACATCAACATTCACATCAACGAAAAATCAGAACATTTAACTATGTATTAATATGTATAAACACGAAACCTACAGAAACCGTTCGAATTATTTGTTTGAAAAAAACACCAAAAAAAACAAAACAAAAACATTAACATTCAAGTTCAACGTCATTCATAAAAACAAACCATTATATATTCTGAATATAATTTCGAAAAGATAGAACTCGGGAATAATTTAATGAACCAAGAAAACGTTGGAGGTGTTTACCACTTGTTTGTATCTGTTGCAGCATCAGGTTTTGAGAATAATTGATGCATGTACAATTTCGGATACTATTAAAACATTTGAGAAATTGATCTTTTGTATTGAAATCAGGAACCAAATCGTGGACGGAAAACTTTTGTTATTATTTCGTTAGCCTATTCAAGACTAAAACTTTACGATGGAAAATGCTTGTAAATATTAAAAATCGATAACATTATTTATGTTGAAATAAAATCATCACAAAAACTGTAGATTCATAAGTGATAAATTTGCGGTTTTTGAAAATGATTGAGAATATCGCGTTACAGAATGATAGACAAAATACACCAAACAAATTGGATTTAAAAGAAAACAAAAAATCATAAAAACAAAATAAAAATAAAGGAAGTGGAAACAAGTACTTTATAAGTAAAAAGAAAATTAAATCAATCTATCAGGACTGCTTATATACCTACTATATTTATTTACAAAATAGCCGTTATATTTCACATGTTACCAGGCAATATAACCCCGAGTGTCTAGATGAAATTCGAATAGACTATCAACCGTGACGAGTGACCACCGAGAACCGGTTGGGAATTTAGATGTACTGCCACGGTAAGCACTTTCTGACCACGAGATATCCTTTCATATGAATCGTTAAAACCCACGAACTTAAGTCTATTAACACTATGATTGCAGATAATTGATAACCGTAATAGGAAATCATGCCATAATAACGCTTTAAAGCGTAATTAGATGTATCTCTTGTAGTTAACTATGACTACACATTTTGCTGACTTTACAGGTTAAAATTAAACTTATTCAAAATCTTACTAAAACAAACATAACACGGTATAAACAGAAAGCAAATCATCTGCTAAATAATTATTTATAATATGAATACATATTGCAAAACCATATGACGGTAAAAAAGGAAACAAATTCACACCAACATTCTTCAACGAAGAATCAGAACATTTAAAATACAAGAATATGTATTGATACGTATGAGCACGAAACCTACAGAAACCTTTCGAATTATTTGTTTGAGAAAAACCAAACACAAACAAAAAACAAAAATATTAACATTCAAGTTCAACGTTATACACAAAAACAAACCAATATATTCTGAATATCATTTTGAAAAGATAGAACTCGGGAATAATTTAATGAACCAAGAAAACGTTGGAGGTGTTTACCACTTGTTTGTATCTGTTGCAGCATCAGGTTTTGAAAATACTTGATTCATGTGCAATTTCGGATACTATTTATAACGTTTTTGACGTTGTATTTTATAAACATATGGTTAATGAATCTTTTTATATTGAAATTAGGACCCAAATCGTGGACGTAAAACATTTGTCAATTATTGTGTAAGCATATTCAAGACCAACACTTCATTATGGAAAATATTTGTAAATATTGAAATCATTTCTCGGTCCTTTTTAGTTCACTAGATGAAAAATGTTGATGATAACAAAAATAGTTAGTTCATAATATATGAGATAATAGTATTTATGTTGAAATAAAATCATCACAAAAACTGTTTATTCATAAGTGATTAATTTGCTGTTTTAGAAAATCATCGAGAAGTTAGCGCTACAGAATGATAGACAAAATACATCAAACAAAATGGTTTAAAAAAAATCACATTTACAAAATAAAAAGAATAAAAAGTGGAAACACTTACATTAAAATAAAAAAAAATAAGACCAATCTATGGACTACCTCTAGGAACATCCCTATACTACTTCTAGGAACATCCCTGTACTACCTCTAGGAACTTCCTTGTACTACCTCTAGGAACTCCCCTGTACTACCTCTAGGAACATCCCTGTACTGCTAATATATTTCCTTTATCAAAATACAATGTAGCCGGTACATATTGTATATGTCACATCTTACCAACAATATTACCCCGAGTGTCTAGGTGAAATTCGAATGCACTATCCACCTTGACGATTGACCACCGATGATCGATTGGGAATTCAGACGTACTGCCAGGATAAGCATTTTCTGACCACGATATATCCTTTCTTATGAATCGTTTAAGCCCATGCACTTAAGTCTATTAACACTATCATTGCAGATTCTTGATAACTGCAATTGGAAATCAGGCCATACTAACGCTTTTAAGCGTAATTTGATGTCTTTCCGGTAGCCAACTATGACTACAAATCATCTTCTATATAATTATTTCTAACATAATACATACTGCAAAACCATATGACGGTAAAAAGGGAAAACATCCACACTAACATAATAACGGTTTTAAGCGTAATTTGATGTATCTCCGGTAGCCAACTATGACTACAAATTTGGATGACTTTACAGGTTAAAGTTAAACTTATTCAAATTCATTCCAAAACAAACCTTAACACGTTAGAAAACAGAAAACAAACCATCTGCTAAATAATTATTTCTAATTTCATATTGTAAAACCATATGACGGTAAAAAGGGGATACATTCACACCAACATTCCTCAACGAAAAATCAGAACATTTAACATACAGGACTCTGTATTGATAAATATAAGCACGAAACCTTAAACAACCTTTCGAATTATATGTTTAAAAAAAACAAAAACAAAAACAACAACAAAAAAACAAACAAAACACACATAGTGTTGTGATGATACCAATGCCTCCAAAATGATTTTATCTTGAAATTTCCTCTATCAAATAGAAGCGGGTTATTGTTGTTTGCTTTTCTGTCAATCACATATTTATGACAACATATAGCCATGATTTATACATTTGATTTATACAGGTTATCATGGCTATTCAGACTTCAGAAAGGTTCCCGTAAGCAATTGTACAGCCGAACCCTATTGATTCCTTAGTAACTATAACAGTAATATTTAATATAAAAAATCAAATCACATATTTCATATATGTACAAAAGATGTCAGAAAGGTTAGAGTACAAACGTTAACTAGAGATACTTTGATTTATGTGTTACTTAAACTAAAACGCCTAGATCATATCAAAACATTAATTTAGATGATTTTGATTATGGATTTTGATTATACATTTCGATGATTTTGATTATACATTTTTAAATGTTTGTGTGTGTACCGTTTCTGATAACACTGTAAATCTAAAGTGTTTTACAAATTATTATACCTTATATTATATCATCATCGACATTTAAACCATGCATCTAAAGAGGCGTCTTTGTAGACCTAATTTTGTGAATCCTTCAGATTCAAGAGGTTACACCCGCTTACCTCTCCTGATTCCAATTTACGATTCGAAGGGACGCGTTAGCTATTTGATTGGTGTCAGGTGCAAAAAGTGACTTGCTAGGCTGATACCTATCCTTTCAAGATTACAGAGATACGACACCCGACACAAGAGTTCAGGAAACATCGAGATATCGCGGATGTTAATGTGACGGCATGATCAAACTAGTTAACTACATGCAGACAAATGTGTATTTCAAACTGTGTAATTAACCGGCATTTACAGACTTAACAATTCTACAAAAATAGAAATATTAAAAAAATAAACTGTATCTTTTAGTAAAAAATGGTTATTTTGTTATTTTTTTGTTTATGTATCAATGCCTTTGTTAACATTTGTGTTACTTTTATGATTTCATCACTGTTTGCGTCACATCGAAATATTTTAGCAAAAATCGAGTCTTTAACTTGTTTGGTCAGCAGACCAGCTCAGACCAGCTCAGACAAGCATACAAATTGGTATTGAAGAAGTTACATATAAAACAATTTTGTTCAAGGATAACACGGTGCAAAAACAACCCATACCCGTCTCTCAAAGCTCTGAAGGACTTATCCATCGATGTAAGCATACATTGTAAGGAGTTCTAGATTGCGAATTGATAATACTTATTAATAATAATACACGACACACAATGTTATACAAAACACACTATCTCCAAACATGATTAAATACGGTGATTTACAAACATTGTTTCTTAATAATACATACAATTACACAACAACTAAATACCTATTATGTATAAAGAATATAAATTAAACATTTAGAAGACATTGTGACCCACTCTCAGTATTTCTGCAAGGTTTCCTTGAAAAACTAAACATAATCATCCGATTTGTATCATGTATAATCTCTCTCATTAAAATATTACTGCTTAAATAATCAATATATGTATCGCATTGCAGATCTCTCTGACGCTGGAGTTACGTTATGTACGTTTATATTTGTACAATTTAACAATCGTCTCAACGTTCTTCGCACCAGTTCCTATTGCAGTCCTGATTGAATTTAGTGATACACTGTTAGTGGTTATTCCGTCCCAATGCACTCCAGTTACTGACTCGAGTCCATAGGCTCAGTAAAGCACATTAGTTCGACACCGAGTGCTTTGAGAATCGGTTTAATTGGCGTTACAACCCCCGCACCATCTGACATACAGCCGATAACAAGACCCAAACACCGAAGGTCGTCACCTTTTTTGACGAACACGCCTGAACCAGAATCTCCTCGAGCAATGAAAGGCTCAATTGCCGTACAGTTACTGATCGCAAGCTGACCCTGCATTTCAAAACGCCTTTCTGTCAATTCAGTAGGTCCTACTATTCCCAATTTAATGGGTTCTCTCACGTGGACAAGTGATCCATACTTTCCTTTTGTTGCGTGTGTTTTAGCTCCGAACTTTACTATTTCTTTATCCAGTATCGCTGTTGGCTCTGCCTGGTCAGCAGAATCAAATACAGGAAATGTTTTGAAACCTGTAAAAGAAAGGCTGTTGTTAATCTTTATAACAGTGCAATGTTACAAATTAAACATACTCTTATATATGTAATACAGTATTCCACATTATCTGTACATTATTCATCGTCCACTGATTAATTTTATGAAACGGTTTTTTTTTTTTTAATATTCTGACTATTTCACATTACTAAAATATTACGTTTTTATTCAAGCTTGTTCATAATAAAATATCCGAGATAGTTTGCGTGCTGTTTACAAAACTAGACTGAGATATAACTGCCGTACTTGTATTGGAATTAATGTTCTACAGATAAACGTGTTTCAGTATGTTTAGGTACACGAAGAAAATCCATAATTCATTCAATAAAACAAGGCATCACTTATCTTCAATATGATTCAAAAGTATGGAAATATGTAATGAATGTTTTACTTTATACACACACGATGTACGTATGGACGTGCCGCTGCGTTTTATGACCGACTGGTCCCTTTATCAGGCTATGAATGAGTGAGCGATTAGTATTGTTTACCTTTACAACTACGTTACGGAAATGTATAGTTCATGTGTCACGCAACCTTGGACGTTTCAATATAAAAAAATGATATTAAGGAAACATTTAACTTTGTTTGTTAGTAATTATCAGCTAATGAACAAGAGTTTACATTAAATTAATGCACACCTATTTGTCCGAGCTGGTTTGCATCGAGAACAGCGAACTCTCCCCCTGACGGCATTCTGTTATCCTGTACGGCTACTACTGCGGCATCTACGGTCACACCATCCACTGTTACACCAAATGTGCCGCGATAGGTCTTACCGCACTTTCGATCAAACGTGATGATTGGCCTGGGGTTGGAGAAGTTATCCACTGCAGGCTGGTTGACTTGTAGTTTTGTTAGAGTGTTGATTTCATCATAGACATAACTATCTTCTCCGTCCTTGACTCCATAAGCAACATGTGCGCATGTCAGAAATCCGTCGAGAACACCACCCTCGATGCTGTGTATTTTCACAAAAGGACCAATAGTTCCACCCCTCCTCTTTCCACCATCTTCAACGTCGCATTCGCAACCCATCTTTAGTTTAGAATGGAAATGTGAGCTTGCTATTGGTGAATAACTACGTGGTGCGATTTCAAAGAATCCTTCACGAACATCTATCAAAACGGCAATATCATCAACTAAAAGCCAATGCGGAAATGCATCTTCCTGTATTGGCCTAAATCCTTTTGAGCTACAATATATAACTACAAGGGTTGTTTCTGCCAGCTTCAAGTCTTTGCTTCCTTTTCTGAACCTCAAATGCGAGACTCCCAATGCATTGATGTTCGAATGTGATTGCATCAGACGCGTGCCATGCACCTGAATTGCTTTCTCAGCATATTGCATGCCCCTGATGTTGTGTGTGTTCAATGACCTCATTTCCTCACTATTTGCTATTCGCATTGCTTCATCATTGACTTGTTTTGGGTTTCTGAATATTACTTTTATCCCCGCAAATTGCTCCACTCTCTCACGAACAACGTTTAATCCATAAGCCAGGAATACCACTTCTCTTACACCGTTGAATGTTGGCTCAATTCGATAGGAACCTTTCACCTTGTTCGCTAAACGCTTTTGTAGCTCCAAAGCAACAGCTTTTGTACAATTTTCATCCAACGGATACAGCGTAAGGCACTTGCCAATATCATTCTCATCTTTCACGGAAGGTAGCAGTAAACTCATAATATCAGCCTTGTTTAGCTCACACGTTATCTGAAGGAGAGTAGACGTGTCCGTAGAAGCAACAAGAGATGGATGTGCAGTACAGAGGTATGAATACATGTCTCTACTTCCAGAACGACAAGCCTTGTGAAGCAATGATTCGTTATCCGCATCTACAATATTCGCTATGTATTGTTGACGCTCCTCTTCTCCTTTTTCTTCAAGCAACACAGATTCAAAAGCGAGAAGGCAATCCTTATTTCCAGATTTAGCAATGCGAAGAAGGCATTCGCTACTGCTCTGTGTTAACAAAGCTGGTAACTTTTCATGAATTGCAAAACATTTTTCTTTGTCTCCCGATTCGCAAGCGTCATACATGGCTTTTAAATTCCAGTTTCCAAACGAAACTTGCTCACATTCAACCGATGTAGATCCATTAATGTCATCTTGACGTTGTTTGACCTGTGCCTGTTGAAATCAAATATCGAAGGATTTATGATTATGGTGAACATAATACCCTCTGCGTAAAAGTGTAAATAGAAAAAACATTGAAGATGGCTGACTAGGATAAATGTTTGAATTATTTTTTACATTGAATGATTGCAGCCATCATCTTACACACAAAACGTGAACGTTCAGACACCAATACAATTTTGCAATATGTTTTATTCTGATTATTTGTCATCTGATCGCTGATGACAATGTAAATACAAAATTCAATATTAATTTTGATCAATATGAATGTTTCTCAGCCAAATGTTTCTGTTCACACACATTGTATTCCTTGATTTATCTTTTGCCGACCGATATTAAAATATCCACGTACACAACGTCTTACCTTCGGCATTTCTGTAGACACTGGAAAATTTAAACAAAACAATTTATCAGAACTTTTAGTTGAATATTTCATTTGATAACAAACGTTCATAACAATTAACGATAACGCTGATGGCAAAATTGAATATATTATAAAATTAAAGAGCAATCAATTATTTAAATAAAATCGCTTTTCATCTAAAATTCATTCGATCAGTATTTGAGAATGACACGCGGTATATTTTCAGTCAATCGTATTTGTAATACATGTAAACATCTCGAAGAATATCATACCAATTTATATTCGTAGAATACCCCATTTTAATCAATTATTTACTAACGATCATACAAATATGACATCCTAAGTATTCAATATTTAAGTACGACGTCTAGCATGTTCTTTCCCACTAATTTAATTTGAATTGTTACTATTTCTTCATACACTTAGTTATGGGGGGGGNCGATAATGCATACATGACAGAAAACGAAAATAGTTGTTTAGAATAGCAGCCTTAACCTTGTAATCAGTTAAATATCGATTACTGTGGTGTTTGGTAGAATTGTTGAACTTTTTTATCAGAATTACATGATTTTTCAACCAATCTCTAAAATTAAGAGTATTACTTTTATGGAGGTCATTGAATACTTGATTTTTAAAAAATCAGTTTAGATTGACATAGTATGTGCACATATATTACGTTTATGTTTAAATGTTGCCCTCTATTCTTCTTTCGGTTTTTTTTTTGGCTTTCTGATGAGAAAACGTTATTTTCCTTGCCAGCTCTCTTATTCCATTACATATCCCATTGGGTTCGTTCGCACAAATGGTTACTATTTTGTTAGGGATACATTAACGAGCAACTTTAAGAACTATGAATCTTATATCTTATGTTGGTCATATCATTCCAGTGAATTTGGGACAGCTTATATTCATTATAATCGCAATGATGTAAAAGCTATTTGTGGCGTTAAGAACTGACTTTCATAACATATAGGACAATAATAACGTGTTTATTGATCAACTAAACGTTCACTAACAAAGCATGCATTAAATACGTTATTGCATTTAATGTCTAAATAAAAAGAGGAAGACTCAGAGTGTTGAGTGGAGATCGGAAATAGTCTATTTGGGCGATAACTATAGAAATGCGGATTAAGAACATTTAAATATAAGTCACCAGTTATAGTTATATTTCTAACTTCAATATAAAAATTCAAGTCAACATAATATCAAATGTGATGCCATGTAGAACCTGGATATCTTGGACGCCTATAAAACGTTCCGCACAGGACTGGTTTGTTAGACAATAACACTCAACCGACACGTATTCAATAGTTGGTAATTCTAAATCATCACGCCTGTAAGACACACAAAAAGATGTTTACATAGACAGCCATTCAGCCGCCTATTCTAGTTGGTCTGCAATAACAAAATAGGTTTGAAAACCCAGAAAAAAACGAATTTCCAGTATAGTTATATCGTCAGGACAACGCCATGTTTCAGGAAACGATAGTATACTATGATCATGCAGGTCAGTTGAAAGAACGTCGACCTTTGGTCTAAGACTAAACATTTAGATGCGATCAAATGTGTTGCTATAATGAGTGGAAGTAGACGATGAGTTATTTGATTCGGATTGAGATTCAGAATTTGTTTCAATACCGCAACATAAGCCACTAAGCCAGAACATCATCAGAGAGAAAAGTTAAAAGTTTGAAATTAAAGATCCGCAAAACGTTAGTGAGCATATTTGTGACTGGCAGATTTGGAGATAGATTCGAGGTAAACTAGTGGTAAAAACCCAGAAATGATTTCTTAAGTATAGCGGCATTATTAAAAGAACTAATTGCTTTGTATATGTACACCTGAATACATAAAAAAAGTTTATGATTTAATCATTGAAAAAGACGAACTCTTGCACGATATAATTTAGTATGAAGCTGCATCAGGAGACACAGAGAACGAGACCAAGATAATCACGTGCAAGAGCATGGTCTTGTTATTAGGCTACAGTATATATCTCACTAACATGGAATACAATACATATATCAAAGGTTATACATGTCCCATAAATCAAAACAAAAATGTGTAGAAAATGTAAGGAAAATATAGTTTAAATAACAACCTCATTAATACCTATTAATTGACATGACGCAAGTTTTCTCATTATATAATTCAGACTACGTTCATTTAAGTGGTACAAAGTAAGCCTTGTGACAGTTATGTAAATAGCAATGTTTGTTTCAAAAGTAATAGCAATATTGAAGATGACATAATTGGCTATGATGACGATAACATCGAAAGTCATGATAGAATTGACAACGAATAGCTATGATGGTGGAGATAATGAACATTGTCATACTGTTGTTCACGTAATATCCGTGACGTTGGTAATGTAATAGTAATGATGGTTATAGGGTAACAGTCGTGATGATGAAAGCTTACTAGCCACGATAACTTATTTGCCGCAATGATGACAGGTAATTACGGTGACGATAACGTACCATTCATGACGGTGATAACGTAAGAGCCACGTTAATCACAGCTAAATAAAATATATAATGAGTATACATAACCAAAAGAAGATTACCTAAATAACCATGATAACGACAGCGTTTATGATCATGATGAGTAAAACGGCGCCATAGTTGGGATAACGTGAACTTTCGTAAATAGTCATGTCAGATATGGAACGTAGACACACTGAAACCACGTTAATTGCTATTTTAACGATAAGATAAGTAATCGTGGTGATAAGTACGTGAATTTCAATGGTGAAGTTTATATAGTTAGGGTGATTACGCAAATGACCATGATGATTATTAAACGAATAACCACGGTACATATTACATAAATACGTAAGAAACGGTGTTAAGAACTCGAGAACGAATGACGATAAACAGACGAAACTCGGTTTGAAGGTTAACCTAGTAATTGCAAAGAGGGATTTCGATCTTGCATTGGTCCACCAGAGGTCAAAGTCACTGTTGGTCAAAATTGTCCGGTTTATAAATTAAGAACGAATGCATTTTTTGTTTCTTTGTTTTGAGTTTAACGTCCTTGCAACAGCAAGGGTCATAGTATAACGGATATGCATAGACAAGTAGAAGAAAAAGTATATATGAAAAAATGGTTGAAAGGAAAATTAGGAAACTCAAAAATCAATCAATGGAAGAAGCTGATTAATTTTAGTCACTTTTGTGTCCGCAAAGTGAAAGGCACTGAAGAAACTCCCGATTATGTAGGGGGCACGAACGAATAACCATATACAGTGAAAAAATTGTGTTTGGATTGCCGTAATTATTTTTTAAGACCTGGCCCACCAGAGGTCACCGTTGTTAAAAAAAGCGTTATGCTTGGTTGTGTTTTCCTGGTACCGACTGCACATTGAAGGATAAAAGTTGACGTGATGGTTCAATTTCAATGAATGTTATTGTCAAAAGACAAATGGATTGGGCAGCAGGCATAGCCCATTAAAGCCATTTCCAAACATAGTAACAGACAGTGGTACAAGCATATACATAGACATTATAAAACATACAAACACATATAAACAAGTTGGTATTATCAAATTAATAATCAAATTAAGGAAAACAACTACTAATACTCATTTTTATTATAATTGAATCTAATGGTTTAAATTCTAACCTTTTATTTTGATACCGAAAAGGCATATATATATATATTATGAAGAGAAAAGAAAACGTATTTGTTGATGGAGCCGCATGTATAAACATTTGATGGTATTTAATTACCGCACCCAACAGAGACAGGCCAAAAATTCCATTGTATCACACAAGACCATCCACTGATGAGTTTGGAAATTCAATCCCACCAAATAGTTTAATTTATGCATATTAAACACAGGTTAGATATATAATTTACTTGTTGTAAAGCTTTATATTCTTATTTATGTAGTTGTTTCCCAATATTTTTTTAATAAAATAGTATAACTGGTCTTCTGAAACCCAGCCCAGTCAATCAGGAAGTAATGAAATGCTCTTTTAAATCTAGAACCACAAGAACATGCAGGGTGACTCAGTAAGAGAATCTTTCTGACGGTCATTATTTAGGTTACTGGCCTCATTTCCCAACTGACAGAGAATAATGTTAATTTCCCTATTTCCTAAAAACTTAAAGACATCAGTTGTTCTTGTGTTTGAATTTGGAATAGGTGTTATTAACTTTTTGAACTGATAGGCGGAACGAATATTTTGAAGGTCTGAAGCAATATTATTTATTTCATTTAACATGGATGGAAACAAACTATTAGAATAGTTAACAGTTCGACAAAGAGGAGGATCACATATTCTATCTGATCTAAGGGGATATCTAGCTAGTGTGGGATCATGGAAATGTGACTCAGTGATTTCTTTCAGATAATATGGACTTTCATTATTCATAATCTTGTACATCAGCATCATTTTATGTTTTTTCTCCTACTTTCAAGAGGAACCCAGGCTAATTCTTTGTACAAACTATTTTCGGGGTGCCTCTACGCAGTCCTGTATTTATTCTTGCAGCCTCTAGCTGGGTTGACTCTAAGATATTTTTTTAGATTTTGTGAACAATTATCCCAAACAACATCTGCATATTCTAGTATAGGTCTAATATATGATGTATACATTGTGGTTAATGACTGTC